GCATCTGCACTGTCACCTGTGGTTTTCAATGTATTTAGATGTGGTCTGGGAAAAGGGGTAAACAGACAAGTGGCAAAATCTGCAGATAATACTTACTTTTATTCAATATAACAAAAACCAAAGTTGACTGAAGAGTTACAAAAGGATCTCACAAAATGAGGTGACTGGACAACAAAATAGCAAATAAACTTCAATGTTAATAAAAGCAAAGTAATGCACATTGGAAAGCATATTTCCAATTATACATACAAAATGTTGGGCTTTAAAATAGAGGTTACCACTAGATTAAGAAGCACTCCCTTCCCCCACAACTACATAAAATGTAGTGGTTAAAGCGCTCCCTTAAAAAATGGAAGACCTGGTTTCAAATCCCACCTTCCCTCCCTCCATGGAGTAGTGGTATTTGAACTTGCATCTTTCATACACTGGATAGATGGGATTCTGCTACCTGCTCTGCGCTGAGGAACAGTGACACTTTCTTGGCATCCATAGCGAAGGCTTGGATTACAATTAAGCATCATAACATCACAAGCAATCATCTGCATGGGACACCCTAGTGAAATGGCACTATTTTGAGAGAAATTGGGGTTATTTTGAGGGAAGGGTTTTATCTCAAAATAACCCCGTTTTTTTCTCTCGAAATAGCGCTATTTTGAAATAGCGCCATAACGCAATTATGCAAATGAAGCGCGGGATATTTAAATCCCCGCTTCATTTACAATTTCAGGTGTCTGCATTTGCATTCCTCTCTCTTGAGAGGAATGAAGTGTAGACATTCCCACAGCTGCATTTGCATTCCTCTCTCTCGAGAGTAATGAAGTGTAGACATTCCCACAAAGCTTTTATTCTTTAATTTCTTAAAGTGCTCCAAAAAGAGACTAGGTAATGACACCTTTTCATTTAACATTTCTTTCACATGTGCATTCGGAGTCATATCTACTTACTTTAGTGAGAAAAAATAAGTTTTTGATTCATTTTACTCTTTTCTTATTAGCCGTACAGACCCCCATGCAGTTAGGAGGAAGAGGAATATATTCTATTCTTTTTTGAGTACCACCAACAGAATTAATCACTTTGGCCAGGTCTACACTAAAGGAGAAAGGCAACTTAAGATATGCAACTCAAGCTATCTTAAATCATCTTAAGTCATGTTTTTGCGCCTTCCACAGAGTGGTTGATTGATGGGAGCAAACGCTCCTGTCCGCTTTCCTTACTCCTCGTGAGGAACAGGACTACCAGTGCTAATGGGGGAGCCTTCTCAGTTCGAATTAGTGGGTCTTCACTAGACCCACTAAATTGAACCCTGGAAGATCGACTATAGCAGTGTCGATCTTCCACATAGTGTAGACATGGCCTATGTCAGTGGTCCCCGATGCGGTGCCTGCAGGTGCCATGCCCCCCCCCGGGGCATTTATATGCACCTGCCAAATCATCTGGGCTGGCCCTACCCCCGGTGCACGGCACATGCGCGGTGCCGGGCTGCGGTGCCTGCAGGTGCCATGCCCCCCACCCTGGGGCATTTATATGCACCCACCAAATCATCTGGGCTGGCCCTACCCCCGGTGCACGGCACATGCGCAGTGCCGGGCGCGTGGCGCATGGGTGGCCTCTGCCCCGATGTGCGGTGCTGGCCCTGGGTGCATGGTGAATGGGCGGCACCTGCCCCGGGCGTGTGGCACATGCGCGGTGCTGGCCCTGGGCGCGCAGCGCATGTGCGGCCCAGCCCCCGGATGTGTGGTGTGTGAGCGGCCCTGCCCCCGGACGCTCGGCGCGTGAGCAACCCCGCCCCCGGATGCCCAGCAGCCACAAAAGGTTGGGAACCACTGGCCTAAGTGCCTGACAGTTACAGCTATGCAAAGAAATGTTTGTATAAATGTTATAGAAGGCAGAATTTAAGATGAAAAAGTAACAAGCATAATGAAAGGGCTAATTGAACCTTAAAAACCTTTATTATCTTTACATGTAAAAGGCATATCTACACATTGCATTTTACTGTGCCATGTCATGATATATAAGTTTCATTAATGTGTGAAAAGAAGGGAAATTTTGGATATCTGTCATAAGTAGATTCAAGAATCTACCCATGATAAGGTTTCACAATGGTCTTTAAGCTTCTATTCTTAATCCATTTGGCAGTGGTGTCAATTTATGATTCGATGACAGATTGGTACCTGATATGATGCTATCTCTGGCATATTTCTGCCAGTTTTCTTTTCTTGTTTTTTAACAGTGAAATAGTTTGTACTTTTTTTTAGCAGTGTAACTTGTTTTTCATCTATTATTACCAGTGAGTCATATATTGTTGTTTGTAGGCACTGGTCCAAAGTCTCGAGCATAATTCAGTTATTGTGAAATTGTTCTTAATCTAGAAGTTAATTTGTTGATGTCTGGGAGTGATGTTAGTGAACTGAAGATACATTTGTTTGGATTTAGATTTTCATTCCGAAATATTATGCAGGTGAAGTAGTGTATGTTTTTGGGTTACATATAGCACCAGAAACTGAATGTAAGGATGTAGCAGGTGCTAATCAGAGGCCAACTAATCTAAGCTTTCCACTCCCAAAATCATAAAATGGACTTGCCTGGTGATCAGTAGGCCTAGCAGTAAAGCTGTGGTCCAAAAGTCTAGCGAGACCAAGGGTGAAAGGGAAATGTAAGGAGACTGGGGTCCTTCCTCACCACTGGGTCCCATCCCAGGACTCAAGGGAGAGATGCATGCAATGTCTCAATCACCTCTTCCTGGTACATCAGACAAAACTTCCTTGGGCCAGTTCCTATCTCCTTGCTCCCACTTAAGATTTAGATCATGATCACAGACCCCCTCCAACAGGGAGTTGCCAATAAGCCTAAGTGCAGAGTCGATTAAATAAATATCCTTGTGCAGCTCTCTTCTAAACATTATTATTCTCTCTGTGAAGGGACTGAGGGAGGGAAATCATGTCTGGGGGTTTTATGCATCCCTCAGACCCTTCTCCTGTGAGCCATTCTTTCCCTCCCCAGCACTTTCAGAAGTGTTAATTTTTAAGCAGATCCTCCATTTAGCACCTGCTTTGCAGCTGCTGAGGGGCAAGCCCCTCTCAACCTAGTTCAGGCTTTAACATGTCTCTCCTGGCTGGAGCCTGCAGGAGTAAGGGCTAGGTCTGTGAGGTTTGCGTTACCCACACACCTACTGTCCCATACAGTGGCATCAAGGCCACTGACAGAGAGACTAAGGCGTCTGCAGAGAGCCAGCTGGCTTTTAGCTTATGTGGCAGAGGCTCATTCACGAAGGTGCCTAGCTTGGTTCTGCCTCTCCCCGCTGCAAGTAGAGGGCGGATCTGGGATTTCAACGGGGCTGTCTCTAAAGCTTGAGGCCGTTCCTCAGCCAGGGGAGCGTGTGGCCCGCGGGCTCTGCTGGGTGCGATGCGCTGCCCCACGTAGGGACACGAGGCGGGGGCACCTACACACGCAGGCTGGCAACCCACGTGACACCAGGCGGTGGCGCCTCGCCCCGCCCGCGCGCCGCTTTC